CATAGTCAGCATAAGCAGATAAACATCAATCAACTAAGCTCCGGCCTCCTACCGCTAGAGGTCTCAATCCCTGGGTTACCTGAACCTGAAATAACCGCCCCAAACGTGGGGTGAGATCTCTGAACAGAAATCTCAGTAAGACAAGGGGTCCTCAAGGATCTTCCACCCCAAGCTCACTTACATGTGCAATATAAGTTCCAAAAACAGTTTAACAGTATAAGTTCCAAAATAGTGCAATGTAGCAGATAATCATGTCATGTGTGTTATAACTAATCTACTGGCCAGAGAGATGCAGGAATACGTCTATTACCCACACTAATGCAAGACGCCACTTGCACCCACCCACAGTGTCACCGTCTTGTATGACGCCACATACTCAGGCTAACCGTCTAAGTGGAACAACACGTACATATTAAAAGCCCTTGCACATAAAGCTCAACAGCATTTTCAATTATCAAAGCATGTAAACATATCATGCATATAAACCATTCTCCCATGGGGTACGGTGGAACCACACAATGGCTAAACTGAGGACATGAAAGCTTACCTTGCAAGCTAACAATCCAAGCCAAGAGTCCACACAAGCTCAAGGTCCACACACAACAGAATCACAATCTGTTTTGGACCAGCAATCATATCAATATTCAAGCATACAAGTATAAGACATAAAGACAACGCCTTTCCTTTACGTTTCATGTCTTAAGGCTTCTCACAAAGCCACAAGCCCTTAATCACTTGATTCTGACTTAGATTAATCATTACAGAAGTCCCACTTCATCAAACTAGGGTCCACAAACCCATAACATCATTATGTATGAACAGTGCAGCTACTGTTCTTCGAAAACCCAGAATATCCGAATATTTGTCGGGGCAATATCCGGATATCACAAGACCCTATATCCGGATATCAATATCCGGATATCCATATCCGGATATTTCGCGACAGAATGCAGATTCTGCATTTCGCGAGATATCACTTCCAAGGTTCTATTTTTAACACTTTTAAATGTTAAAGCATGCATCTTTAAGTCCATTTATGTTCATAAACTGATTGGTTACTTGTTTAACCCATTAACATGCAAAGACTCAACCTTTAAATAAAGAAAACTCATGATCAAGGTGATGGAGCTTACCCAAGCTTCAAAACAGAAAAGAGAGGTGCTCTTGGAGCTCACTTGAAGCTCCCAAAGTTCAGACTTCTCAAGAAAATGAAAATGATAAACAAAGGTGATTTTTTTCTCACCCAAGATGACTCCTTCAAGCTCAAGAAGCTAAGGTTAAGGCTCCCTCAACAAGGTGAATGCACTCAGCCCTTAGACTCCCTCACAACAGTGACCAACACTCAGAAACAGATCACAAACACACTCACAATGCTCACTCTCACTCACACCAAGTGTTTGGGTGAAGATTTCATAGTAGAAAAGACCTCTTTGCTCAAGAAATGGAGAAGAGACAATGGAACAGTGTAAAGAGAAGCTGGTCAGCCACCCAAGCCACGTAGAAAAATAGGGAATGCCTAGGGTTTAGTGCAAAAGTTGCATTTATAGTGTTTTAAGTCTTAAACACACATTATTAGCATTAATAGCTACGCTTAACATTTTAATTCCAAACTTATGATTCTGAACCTACTCATTTTTCTAAGAATTATCATATTTTTATTTTATTTTTCGCAAAATCTTTCCGGTACGCGCTTTTCCATAGCTAGTATCAATTCTGGCACCAGTTCTTATTATTTTGACTTGAAACTTGTTTTACAAGTCCTATATATTGTTCTAGTGACGTATACACACTTTTCATAATTTTCCGGGATACTTCATCGGTACGCATTTATACCGAGTAGCAGAACCGGTATCAGCACTTTTAGTCAGAAAAACGACTTTCAGCATTATTAAACACTTACCAATATTATTTAAGCCTTATCATAACTATTAGGGTCAATTATGGAATTATTTCCTAATTTCTCATAATTAATTAATTAACATTCCTTAATTAACGGTGCAGGTTCTTACACTGACACATTTAAACACAGGCTTAGCCTTTTAAGATAAAACTCGGCTCGGCCCGTTAACACCCCTACTTGGTGGAACCTGAAAGAATCATCCACCTATTAAGGGATTGCAATCAAATTTGTCGCCTTTGGACTGATTTGGTTCCAATCAATGCTTATAACTTTTTTTTCTCTGACAATTTGTTGAATTGGATGCAGGTTAACATGCTATATTCTGACAAGTATAGATGAATTATCCCGTGGAATAACATATTTGCAACTACTTGTTGGATGGCATGGCTGTGGAGGAATGAAAAGGTATTTGGTGAATCAAATATTCAACATCAGTACAAACAATACTTGGTGGAATCTAAAGCTCGTGAATTTCAAGAAGCATTTAATCTTGCTAAGAAACGCCATCTAATGTACATCAGGTTTACCATTCTAGTTTTTTGGAACCCTCTGGAAGGTGATTGGTTGAAACTTATCTCGGACGGAGTGGCAAAAAGAAATCCTGGAATGGCAGCTTGTGGAGGAGTTTTTCGAAATGCTGCTGGTCGTTGGTTAAATGGTTATTCTTATAGAATTGGAGTTTGTAATGCTCTAAATGCTGTGTTTTGGGGTATACATAAGGGACTAGAGTTAGCTTGGAAATTTGGTTGGAGGAAAATAACTATAGAAAGTGATTTGTTATCTGTTATCACTTTGCTCACCAAAACTGGTGATGCAGCCCGCGAAAATCATTTGATTTCTCGGATACTGGCATGGATCGCAAATGACTGGATAATTCATTTGAGGCATACCTATAGAGAAGGCAACAATGTTGCAGACTGGTTGACAAACTATCCCCTAGCTAATGCTGATGGTCCTGACATGTGTAGTTTCAATTCCCCTCCCCTAGTATTGAGTTTCTGTTTAATGCTGATTTAGTTTCTGTTTGTAGACCTTGCTTTATTTCTATTGTGTAATTCTATCTTGTGCTATGGGTATTCCCCCTCAGCTTACCCAAAAAAAAAATGTGTTAATCAAATACTAATTAGTGTTAATCAATCATATATACCAAAAAAAAAAAATCGATCAATAAAGTATTTATTGAAAACTTTAGTTTGATAGAAGTTTAGTACTCAATTACAAAACGTACTAGCTTATAGTCTTTCCTTTCATAAGAGTTATTTCAATTCTCTCTTTAACATTTATTTCTAGTCATATATATATATATATAACCCGCCCTTTTATATATATATATATATATATATATATATATATATATATATATATATATATATATATATATATATATATATATATATGGGCAAGATTATATTTACATACTTTTTATTTACAAATTACACTAAATATGACCCGTCATACTTCAATCAAGAGTGTATGACCGGTCATATTTAGTGTAATTTGTAAAAAAAGTTCGTAAACGGATCATTTCCATATATATATATATATATATATATATGGAAAAAACATTTCTCAAGCAGTTTGAGATAAGTTTATCTCCGGCTACCTCAAAACTACGTCATTTTATTTATTTATTTCCTTATATAAATTGATTCACCTTTGAATGATTATGATTTCCTTTTTCTCTCTCTTCCTTTATCACCATTAATCCATCTTTGTACGGTTATGATTTAGTAGTCGAAGATAAGATTATCTCAAGCAGTTTGAGAAAAGATAAGCCCTATATATATATATATATATTAAAACAAATTTAAACTCATTCATTGTAATATTCATCTACGAAGCACATATGCTATTCTAAATATTTGGTGCCATAAAACACTTCTCAGGAGCCGTTTGTTAGAAGGATTTTTGTAGCATTCTTAGGAAACTGAAAAAGCGGTAATCTTATTTATTCATGTTTGGTACAAAGATTTTTAATTTTTTTTTCAGGAATTCGATTTTCCCGGGATTTTATTTTGTGTATAATTTTTTTTGAAAAAACCATCCAGGAATACCATTCAAAAGGTGGTATTTTAAGATTTCTATGGCAAGAGAAAATTTAATACAACTAAACATAGTATCAAGAAAATTAACTCAATATTCTGGGAATATGTTAGTCTACCAAACAACTTTTTGATAACATTTCTAGAAAACTCATTTTCTTATCATATTACTGGAAATCGTGATTCCCGGATAATTTTTTTTTCCTCTATTAAACGCCCCCTTAATGACAAATAACTCTTGGAAGCATTTTACCGTTTTATTCACCTAACTTAAATTTTTTCATAACTTGTTTCTCCTTCAATTTCTGTTACTTATTAAGACAAATCCAACATATCAAAATTGTACCTCTTATAGCTTAGTATGATCAATGATTTTTTTTTTTTTTTTGTAAATTATGATCAATGATTTTTACCTCCAAGTAAATATTACTCGCATTTTGCTGACTACATTTTATACGCTCGGTTTTGCTGCAAATGGGAAACAATGTTATTTGAAAGCTTGTCTTCATAATTTTGTTTCCTTTCCGCTCTCACTCCAAATGACCAAACTATGTTTTTCTGCACGTAACTTTTATTAAAGGAGATGAAAATTACAAATGATATTGAATTACGTATTTACCCTCAACGTGGTGGAAACTGGAAAGGTTTAAATTAATAGGCATAATAATAATAACAATAATATAATAACTGCATAAGATTGATTAAACAGTAACCAAGATTAATTAAATTGAGGTGACATTCATTCCGATTCAGGAGTCTATTCTGATGATTCTTTTCATCTAATAAATAACATAATAATAGATAAAGGGATCAATATTCATACTTAGATAAAATTATCTCCTCTTATACACATAAGATGAAAAATAAATAAATCTTATATATTTTTATATGTGTAAGTGATAAAATTATTTTCAAACCCACGGATAAAATAAAAAATAAAAAGACAAAGTAAATTAAAGTTGTAACATAAGAGTTGAGTGGTGACTGTTACTTACTGGCTTTCTCTGCTTTTCCAACATGGTTCCATATCCATTTGCATTTGCATTTGCATTTTCATAGGCTGTGTTGTGGTTTCTCTTTGTGCTTTCTGGGTTCTGTCTTCATAGTTGTCGTGTTACTGGTGTTTGTTGTTGTTGTTGTTGTTGTTCGGTTATAGCTTTGCAGTTTGAACATCGTTTCAGTTCTGATCCCAAAATTTGGGGTCAGAAGAGTTTAGGTTGTCCAACTCCAACAGAGACACCCTTTACATACTTTATTTCTTCGTACGTGTACTTGTCCCAGCTTTTACGCTTTGTGCTCTGCACGCTGAAGTGTTGGTTTCTTAGAGTTTTTTTTTTATATATATTTGTGGTGAGAGAAACTTGGGAGAGATAGAGGAAGTGGTTCACCATGGGTGACAAGTCCCAAGTATTGGAGGCTGTGTTGAAGGAAACTGTTGATTTGGTAACAGATCTGAATCACTCTAAGCCTTTCTTCTTTGTTGTGTCTTCCTTCTTTCGTTGATGGGTCTCATGTTGTTTTTCTGGTCTTTCCTTTTTTTTTTTTTTTTTTTTGGTTGGTTGTGAATGCAGGAGAATATACCCATTGAGGAGGTTTTTGAGAATTTGAGATGTAGCAAAGAAGGTCTCACCAGTGAAGCTGCCGAGGAGAGGTTGGCCATTTTTGGTCACAACAAGCTTGAAGAGAAAAAGGTTTCACTTTTCTTCTTCTTCTTCTTCCATACATGAAAATTCTCTTTCTCACTCATTGGTTGAGTCCCACGAAAAAAGGTTTCAACTTTGTGGTGAATTATCTTCTTCTTCTTTTTTTGTTTTTTGCAGGAGAGAAAATTTTTGAAGTTCTTGGGGTTTATGTGGAATCCTCTGTCTTGGGTTATGGAAGCTGCTGCTATAATGGCAATTGCACTTGCCAATGGAGGGGTGAGTGAGTGAGTTGAATACACTCAGCTTTGTGAGTTCTTAAATGTACTATATTTGTTGCTGATTAGTTTGATTTTTCCTTGAATTTTTATGCAGGGGAAGCCCCCTGATTGGCAAGATTTTGTTGGTATCATCACCTTGCTTGTCATTAATTCAACTATTAGTTTCATTGAGGAGAACAATGCTGGTAATGCTGCAGCAGCTCTCATGGCTCGTCTTGCTCCAAAAGGAAAGGTGTCAAATTCAGCTTCTTTACAGTTCAATGCTGTGTGCATTCGATATTGGTGCTGTAAAATCTTTCCTCTGGAAACGATTCAACTTTATTTATTCTTTGTCCTCTCATAGTTTTCACTTCTCATGTCTGTGTTGTAAAGGTTCTTCGAGATGGTAGATGGAGTGAGCAAGATGCTGCGGTCCTGGTTCCCGGTGACATAATTAGCATTAAACTTGGAGATATTGTACCAGCTGATGCTCGTCTTCTTGAAGGGGATCCTTTGAAAATTGATCAGGTGTGTGTGTGATATTTTTGCCTTTTTTATTTTCTCTGAATCATATAAGTTCTATTGTTTAATCCGTGACATGCCAAATGGTTGAATTAGCCATACTTTCCTTTGTTCAATGTACTTTTCAGTCTGCACTTACCGGTGAGTCCCTGCCAGTGACTAAGGGCCCTGGGGATGGTGTGTATTCTGGTTCCACCTGTAAACAAGGAGAGATTGAAGCTGTGGTCATTGCAACCGGGGTTCATACCTTCTTTGGTAAAGCTGCTCATCTTGTAGATACCACTAATCAAGTTGGTCACTTTCAAAAGGTAACACGAAAGGAGGAACCATTTTTTTAGGACATTCTTAATGTTGTTTTCATGCTGAATATTTCATTTGTTCTATTTTCTGTTGCTGTTTAGGTCTTGACTGCTATTGGGAACTTCTGCATATGTTCAATTGCTGCGGGGATGCTTATTGAGATTATTGTTATGTACCCCATCCAAGACCGAAAGTATCGCCCTGGGATTGATAACCTTCTTGTACTTCTTATTGGGGGAATTCCAATTGCCATGCCTACTGTTCTTTCAGTGACCATGGCCATTGGTTCTCATAGGTTATCTCAGCAGGTCGGTTAGTTAGGTTCCTTCAGTTTAGTATGTTTGGTGGACATGAGGAAGAATTAATGATTAATTGGATATAATGTTTGCAGGGGGCTATCACAAAGAGGATGACAGCTATTGAAGAGATGGCAGGCATGGATGTGCTTTGCAGTGACAAGACTGGGACTTTAACATTAAATAAGCTTACTGTTGACAAAAATCTTATTGAGGTTGGATGATGAATGGTCTTTTAGTCTTGCAGTAATAAGACTTGAACTTTTCTTTCATATGCATGTTTTCTAACTATTTTTGTTTTTAACCAATAAGGTTTTTGCGAAAGGAGTGGATCCAGATACTGTTGTTTTGATGGCTGCTCAAGCTTCTAGACTTGAAAATCAAGATGCAATTGATTCTGCCATAGTTGGGATGCTTGCTGATCCAAAGGAGGTTCGTCATTGATATATTATTCATAGGGATTCTTCCAATGACATAGGTTTATTTGCTGTAAGCCTGCAGCTATAATCTGCACATCCTCATAAGTTATTCTGTATTTAAGTTTAGACAATAAATTTCTTTTCTTACTGCTATCAAGGCACGTGTTGGTATCCAAGAAGTACATTTTCTTCCTTTCAATCCTACTGATAAGCGGACAGCATTGACATATATTGATCGTGATGGTAAAATGCATAGAGTAAGCAAAGGTGCACCTGAACAGGTAATTTCGTAACATTGTTCTCATGAGCTTATATAAAAGTCTCATATTCTGATTCTGATTTATACTGTGATTGCTAGATCCTTAATCTTGCTCACAATAAATCAGACATTGAACGTAGAGTTCATGCAGTGATAGATAAGTTTGCAGAACGTGGTTTACGATCCCTTGCAGTAGCATATCAGGTAATTGATTCATTGCATGCTCTCTTACTTGATCATTTGGTGAATTTGTAAGCCTATGTTTTATGCTAGAAATATTTGCTTAGGTTTCTTCATTGTATACAGGAAGTTCCAGATGGAAGGAAAGAGAGTGCTGGAGGCCCATGGCAGTTTATTGGCCTTATGCCTCTGTTTGACCCACCTAGGCATGACAGTGCAGAAACAATACGGAGGGCTCTAAACCTTGGAGTTAATGTCAAAATGATTACAGGTCTATTACAAATAACAGTGAAAATCCTTGAGTTGCTTGTATTGTGGCACTGAAATCCCTTTTCTTTATAGCTAATTAATTTCTTAAAAGCTTGGGAACAAGCAGTCGCATCAAGTAAGCAACTGATGCAATCTCAGTCCCGTGTAATTCGGTAGTACTGTGACATGAGTCTTATTCTTTTTTCTGTGACTCAGCAAATTTTATTGGTCAAAAGTCACGATTAAACTTGGTTGAGTTAAAACAAACATGTGCTGGTAGAAGAAGGATTTTGCTTTGCATAAGTTGACTGAAGGGCAACATCTTAACAACAGCTAGGTTATCATAAACCTCCTGCAGTGAAAAAATTTTTGATCCATGGTATCCATTGGAAACTGGCTTTTCTTCTGCACTTAAAGAGTCATGGATTATTTTCCAACATAGCCATAATATTTTTTTAACCTTGTTAACACCACACTCCTAATTTTCATTTATATTTTCTTGTTCTTAATGACTTTTATTGAGCACTTAGAGTAATGGATTTGATTTTCAGCATAGCCACAGCATAATTTATTTTTCTGATCTTATTAGCTCCTAATTTCATTTATATATCTTCCTTTTTCTTATCAGGGGATCAACTAGCTATAGGAAAGGAAACAGGCCGCCGCTTGGGAATGGGTACCAATATGTATCCATCATCTGCATTGCTTGGGCAGGATAAGGATGAATCCATTTCTGCCCTACCCATTGATGAGTTAATAGAAAAAGCTGATGGATTCGCTGGTGTTTTTCCTGGTATGCTTTTATGTTGATCATTGCAATTGATTGGTCTGCATATTGTTTGACATGTAATGGATGGAAGATTAATTATCAGTTGGGTAAATGAACACTATGCTTCATTTCTTATATTGATTGGTTTATATATTTGGCCAGAGCACAAGTATGAGATTGTGAAACGCTTGCAAGCTAGGAAACATATTTGTGGAATGACTGGTGATGGAGTGAATGATGCGCCTGCACTCAAGAAGGCAGACATTGGTATAGCTGTTGCTGATGCGACTGATGCAGCTCGGAGTGCTTCTGATATTGTTTTAACAGAACCTGGCCTTAGTGTTATTATTAGTGCTGTGTTGACCAGCCGAGCTATCTTCCAGAGAATGAAAAATTATACGGTGAGCAATTGAACTACTATTGATATCTTCTCAACAGTTTTTTTGATCACTTATGTCTTTGTTATTTATGCTGTCATAGTAATCCATCATACATTCTATTAATTTTTGAGAAATTTGTTTTGTTCAGGCCATGAGCACTTGGTCTAATATAAGTGTTTATAGTACCTTCCATTGACCCATTTGTTTCTTCTTTCATGCAGATTTATGCTGTCTCAATTACAATTCGTATTGTGGTAAGTGAATTATTTTGCAGCTCTGGAATATTTTTTTTGCCTTAGGTGTCATCATTGATGAAGTAGTTCTTGGGTTGGTCCAATTCTTACTGTATGTATTTTACATCTATGTCATGCTTGCAGCTTGGTTTCATGTTACTGGCTCTCATATGGAAGTTTGACTTTCCACCTTTTATGGTGCTCATTATCGCCATTCTAAATGATGGTTTGTTGTTTCTTTCCTCCCACAGAATGCCTCCCTGTGATCCTGAGCTTTATTGGCAGCTAACATTATGGCATCTATGACATTGTAGGCACTATCATGACAATTTCAAAAGATAGGGTAAAACCATCACCTCTTCCAGATAGCTGGAAGCTAGCTGAGATATTTACTACTGGCATTGTGCTTGGAAGTTACTTGGCAATGATGACTGTCATATTCTTTTGGGCAGCATACAAAACAGATTTCTTCCCGGTATATCTTCTCTTGATGATTTCCATCCCAAAATATTCTGTAGTTTAATTAAATTTGGTCCTATAGGAGTGTATTGTGTAACATTCAAGTGCGTAACTTTATCCCTTAGAGTATGTATCCTATAACTCACTGACTGTTATGATTTGATGTTTCCTATTTAATTATGTGCCGTCAATGCCAATTTATGCCTTGCATGGATTCTGTGTGCTGCTTTTGGTTATTTTGGATGTGGCTCATTCATTATCTTTCCTGCTATTCGTGCAGAGAGTATTTGGAGTGTCTACTCTTGAAAAAGCTGCTCACGATGATTTCCGAAAACTAGCCTCTGCAATCTATCTTCAAGTGAGCACTATTAGCCAAGCCCTAATATTTGTGACTCGGTCTCGGGGTTGGTCATATGTTGAACGTCCTGGTTTCTTGCTGGTGGCAGCTTTTGTGGTTGCTCAGCTGGTAAGTCAAATGACCATTTATTCTGTTGCAATTTTCTTGAGTTACATCAAGGATGATGACTTTGGTGATTGATCTGTTGTTTTGCAGATTGCCACTTTGATTGCAGTATATGCAAACTGGAGCTTTGCTGCCATTGAAGGCATAGGTTGGGGTTGGGCCGGTGTAATATGGTTATATAACATAATATTCTACATCCCACTTGACATCATTAAATTTTTGATTCGATATGCTTTGAGTGGGAAGGCTTGGGAGCTGGTCATTGAACAAAGGGTAAGTAGAGCTTTGTTACAGTAATTTATCCGAGGAGGATATTTCATTTGGCTCTGTCCTCATGGATTTCATTGTCATATAGATTGCATTCACAAGGCAAAAGGACTTTGGGAAGGAACAACGGGAACTTCAATGGGCACATGCGCAAAGAACATTACATGGATTACAACCACCTGACACTAAGATGTTCACCGAGCGCACTCATTTCAATGAACTCAATCAAATGGCTGAAGAAGCTAAAAGGAGAGCCGAAATTGCAAGGTAGACAGCATTATTTATTTGTTTTTGCTTGGTTAGGAATTAGGTTGGAGATAAACATCACATCATTGCCTATATTCAAGTATACAAGTAAAGTTGTCAGTTTTATATATTCCTTACTGGTAGGATATAAGGTTCAAAGAAATGTCAATGAGTACTTAACTCCTTTCCTACTTTGTTGATTTGCCATGTAGTTTCCCTAAGCCACACTACTTCTACTGACTAGTAAATAATGTTGGTTACAGTAAACCACAATTATATTTTAATTGTTTCGTAATAATTGTTTGCAGGTTGCGAGAACTGCATACACTAAAAGGTCATGTAGAATCAGTTTTGAAATTGAAGGGGATTGATGTAGACACAATTCAGCAAGCATACACAGTCTGAAGAATGCCTATATATTTGCATACTGATACTGTAAAGGGGGCACAATCTAATGGTTCTGACTGCTGAGAGGAATAGAATGTTAATGATTACGCTCGTGTTAAGTTCAATATCCTTTTACTGTTATGAGCACTTTGAGAGTGCTTTTGTAAGGTCTATCTCTGTGTATGCGGTCGCTTGTAAGGAATTTTTAATCTTGACTATTTAAGATGTAATAGTTAAAATTTGCCTTTCTTACTCATAAAAACAGGCTCTCATTTTACAAATAATTAGTTCACGAGGTGTAACATTTGAGATGTACAAATAACCTCTAGTTTATTTTTCATTAGTTCCACTGTGATTAATTCTTTTCTAAATAGTCTTGTAGGCTGGGGAGAGTTTTAAATCTACTTCAGATAAGATGGAATACACATTTTAAGTTGCAGCACTTTTCGTGTTGATCTCCATTATGAAAGATGCTTAGTTATCGATAATATTCGAGAAAAGAGTAGAATTACAAGTTATTATTAGTTCTCACTATGGACAATATTTGTTTTCTTTTCTATCTACATCTTATATTTTATTTTTCTTCTGATTTGTAAGTATTGTTGGACTTCATTCGCACCCAAAAAGCAAAAAAAGAAAACTCTTAGCAGTTGGTTACATGGCACCAAAGAAAATGAATTAATCCTGTGTTAACAACTAAAAGTAGGGGACATACACAAAAGTAGCATCCTTCAATTCCTACAAATTCTCTATACTCAATCTTCCATTCCCTATATCTAAACATGAATGGCTTTATATTATATTTCTAACACGTTTGTCTTCATCATTTGCGTCAATTGATTCTCCCCTCCGGCCTTCAATTGAATTCTCTGGCTGCACTTCCGTTGTTCCAGTGCCCTTGCTTCTTATCAAATAACTGCTAGCAAAGAAATTAAAGTACACAAAATTCAAAGCTCCCAGAGCAGCAATAACGAAATAGTAGTAGTCAAGCCTATTCTTGTTTAAATCATGACCACCTAGCCAGGGTGTTCTTCCTCTGTGTGATGTTACTTTGTGGATGATACTCACAAGAATGGAACCTATATAGTTTGCAATGGACAAGCTCAGAAAGAAGACTGCCCCAGCAACAGTCCTCATGCTCTCTGGCATTTGCATGGTAAAGAATTCCATTATAGCAACAGCAGCAAATGCTTCATTTAGACCTGATAATGCAAACTGTGGCAACAACAACGCAAAGCTTGTGGGTGAAATAAACGAACCTAGTCTTAAAGCTGAGTCACGTCGCTTCTTCTCAACAGCTGCTGCTACCAACATGCATAGAATGGATAACAAAATCCCAATTCTGATTCTTTGTCCCATTGTCAATCTTCTAGCCTTTTTAGTGATTTTTCTTGTGAGAGGAACGTAGATGCACTCATAAATGTATATCCAAAATGAAAGTGCTAACATTGATGCCAAGTTCATCCACCCAGGTGGGACTTTAAAGTGGGGTCCTAGGGACCTGTTGGTTTGTATCACCTGAAGTACCCCAAAAGTGTTCTGCTGGTCCATTACAATGAAACAGCAAATTCCTGTTACCCATACAGGAAGAATTCCCAACAAGCATTTGAAATGTTCCACTTTTTGCACACTACAAAGCCTCCAACCATTCCTTGGCATGCCTTGGTTGTTCAATTCACTTGGAGCAGCAATTATAGCAGCCTTGTCAAAGAATTTGAACCTATCTGTGGGAGAAAGCCTTTTATTGTCCAAGTCTGATTCACCCAACACTGGAGCAGAATCATAAAAGGTTCTCCCATCATAAGCTTGTAGCTTGCGTTTTCTACATGCTGCTGTAATCACCTTGGCCATATCTGAGAAGATGCTCCCTTGAGGTATCTTGCAAATGTAAGTGTGGCGACCAAGCCAGAAGATGGTTATAGAGAAAGCAAGACAAACTGTTGGAATTGCAAAGCCCAAAATCCAGCTGATATTAGTTTGGATATACACAACCCCAGTGAGTGCTACAATGAGTGCAATGGTGAAAGTGAAGTACCACCAATTGAAGAAGCTCTCCAATTGTAGCCTGCCCTTTTCTGTCTTGGTGTCAAATTGATCAGCACCAAATGCAATGTTGCAGGGCCTGATGCCACCAGCGCCTATGGATAACAGTCCAAGACCTGCAAAGAGAACTCCTAGCTGCCAACCTTGTGGCCTTTGGCAATGGGGTGGCTCCTTGCAGGTTGGGGGTCTCAATTGATGTACACCTGCTGTTAGGGTAATGGTCAATATACCCTGTCAAATGCATTCCAAGCTGGTAACGTATACATAACATAATACCTTCTCTAAAGATTAATAAGAGAGTAACTGAAGCAATAAATGCTTTGAAACCTCAACTCAATGCAATGCACAATCATAATCGTAAAATATTGGTAGGTGAATTGGGCATTCTAAGGTTCTAATGCTATTGATAACAATTGGTTTAGGTTGTAAGAAAGTTGTTTCCTTGGGTCACGAGTTTGAGTCACGAGAATAGAACAATGGCGGAGTCAGGAGATTTTATGAGAGGGAGTGAGAAATTGAAAATTCACACTAATTTAGACAGGACAACACATCAATGATTTGATACACAATTATATTTGAAGAAGTTTTTTATTTTTTTTTATTTGAGTAATAATAAAAACAAAAGGAGGCGAATTTATGTTATAGTATCTTTCTTCTAAGTCTGAATGTAGTCTAAGACAAATGTTTGATGAATTTAAAGGGGCAATCGCCCCTCTTATCTTCTCTCTCCACCATTGGAAGAGAGAAAATAGTATTGAGAAAGTCACCACTTATATGAATCCAACAATACTCAAACTCGGCTAATTGGTTTTCATGAAGAAAGGAAAGATAGATATGTTATATATTAGGGTTTTATAAATCTCATGTTGAATGAACATTGAAATCTTACGTTGTAGAGATAAAAAATACGTGAGACTTATATGTTAGAGAAAAAATTATGTGCAGACCCATGTCAGCACGAAAATCAAAGAATGTATAGAAAAATTTCAATTCTCATGTTGAATGGGAATTATAAAACCCTATGTGCATATATGGCAAGACAAGAGTATGCAGATTAAGAGCCAGATGTTAATTTTCTTACCAGAAAAGATGCAATAGAGCCACAGAGGAGGGTCCGGAACCTGCCGAGATAAGTATCAGAAATGAATGCGCCGGCTATTGAAGCAACGTTGGAGGATCCATTCCAAATTTGTACCACATTAACCACGAATATACCACTCAGGTTGTAATTCGTGAGCAGGTACACTGTCATATTCGATATCAAACTCATTGATGCCAATTTCTCAAACGACTCATTACCTTCATATTGAATGGAAACCAAAGAAAGAAATCAACAACGTGCAGAAAAAGTTGTGGAGATTGATCTTTGTTATAACATGAAACAATGACTGTTAATTTGTAAAATTGGTAGGGAGATACCGATTATATATTTGACTGATCTCCATCCTCCTGCTTCATTCGAAGGAGAGGAGGGTGAATGTGTTTGCTCATGTTCTACCTCGAACGCAGAAGGAGAGTTAGTGGTCACGTTCTCCATTTTTGGCTCTTGTTTTTAACTCAATTCAACTCATGTATTGTATCTTCTATTGTATGTATTCGTTTTGAAATGACCAAACATGGAGCAAGAGAGATTTTTGACTAGTTTCATATGGCTAATTTTTTAAAGTGGTAACTTTTAAGATTTTTTTTACCAGGGATTGATTGCATGTGTGAGTAATTTGCATAGATGGAGATGATTGTTTTTGTACGTAAAAGAAGGACTTGGATTTGGGAGATGGATTACAAATGCCACGTCCCTTTATAATGTCTACGTTTGTTCTTAGGCATGTGACTGATTTATCAACTTTGATAATTAATCCTAAGTCAAGGTTTCTGTTAGGACTTAAATAGCTCTCTGATCCTAATTTTTAGGTACTACCATATCTCTCAGTCATTTTGCCATAAGCCAATTACGGATTATCCTTTATAGGCTTTTGTTTTTCTTGTACTACTAACTCATTGCCATTGGTAACATATAGATGCTTGTAACTTGACCCTCTCGCAATACATTTATCATGGTTTAGATTTATAATAACCCACACACGTGAAATGATTAATTATGGAATTAAGCATGGATTATGAGGTAATTATATGATAATTATTAAGAAAATCCAATTATGCCAAACAAGTCATTTAGGTACAAAAATATTATTATGTTAAATTATAAGGGTTAATATGCAATTATGGCATAGTTTAGGGACCAAATTGCAATTATACAAAAATTGGCCTAAATTCAATAATGACATCATAATATATTAATTGAAGGATTTAATGGTATGAAATTAAATTCATAAAAATTAATTGATATTTATGACTTAAGTTATACAATTATTAAGGGAAGGAATTCAGTAATAATTAGTGGGAATAGATGAGTCAAAGTCAATCATTCCTCTTAAAAATCATTTAAATGACTTAAGTGAGATTGAAAGTCACTATTCATGTATCTTTTTCCCCTCCCTTAGCTACAAAACCGAGCTCCACGTGGTAGAGAGAGAGTGACATTTCAAATCTTAATATCTTGATTTCTAAACCTCCAAATCAAGTGATTCCAAAGCTAAAGTTGTGAGAAATTTTGAGAGGAACATATTGGTACCTATATTTTCGTGTGGGATTCACTGTAGAGATAGAAATCTCCTCCCCTAGAGCTTGTGGTACTGTTCATCAAGAGAAGAAAAAAAATGGTGTTTTTAGATGATCCAATGCTTGGAGCTTGATCCTTTGGTTGTCTAAGAGTTATTCAAGGTAAGAAATCTCATTTACAATGGATGAATATTTAAGTTTCATTTTAGGGTTCCAAGAACATTGTCGGGGAAACTTTAAAATTTGACTATTCTAGAATAATGAGGTGTTTGTCGATGGTATATGTTTGTTTTATGGCTTAGTGTTAGGAAAATAGCAAAGGATTGCATTGGAGCTTGAAAACTTGGTTGTTTCCTCTTGTGTACATTTTGACATTGGAGAGAAAATTGGTACTCGTGGTATACTTGTTGTTATTTGAGGATTGGAAGACCAACTTGAGAATATTCCCAGTGTTTTTGAGGTAAGGAAACACTTACATTGATTGTGAAATTTTCTAGGTTTGTATGTGTGTCCATTTCGGCTATATGGTGTAAAAAGCATGTGGGAAGTTTGTAAATTGTGAATTGAGGTTAGAATATGTCTTTTGATGATTTTAAAGTAGATTGAACTATGTAAATGGTGGCAAAAATTTAAGAGTCTTCATGAACCCTTTACCTATGTGGTTTCGGCCATAATGTATATTAGAGTTGAAATTGTTTGAAATGTTTGCATGATGACTAGTGAGCCTTAGGTGAATTATTATATGTAATGGAATGTTTTGGTTAGTTGTTAAATGCCTAAGGATATGAAAAATAGCCTAAATCACCCTTTAGACCACATATATGGAAAATGTAATGACTTTGCATTTTTGATAAATGAGGTATGTTGGTTGATAAAATGTGCATGGATGCAATTATAGGCATTGGAAAGCATGAAAACCCTATGGACCTTTGTATGCATACTCTAGGCCATGTGTAGGAAATGTATGTGGATAGGTTACTTAATTGGATTTTGACATGTGATAATGATCCTTGACCATAGTAGATAGGATTAAGCCAAATTGTTGGTGATTAAAAGTTGAAAGCATAATGGATCTTTTATGTATTGGCTTCGGCCATTAGAAAAGTGGCATGTGAATGTGTTTAATTTCCATTTGAATAATGCATATGACATATTAACTAAGTTAAGGTAATTAGACTAGCTAATTAGATGTTTGAACTATGTAAACCCTTGGTGAACCTTTGGGTCACCATTTAAGGCAATGACTTGTGAAACAAGTAATTAAAGTTGTATAATTTGCCATTAGTGTGAATTATTTGCCATTGGGTAACTTGATCCAAATGAATTAGTTAGTAACAAATTATGAATATGAAAGATTGATGGAAACCCCTAGGGTGTTTGGAGATGTAATCCATAATGTCTTAAATGATGATGAATGCCTATATAGTTTGGTGAAATGAATAGACCAATTTGCGGGTCATTGAAAGCTATAAAAATGTGTATTTCCCTAGACCATGACTTCGACCATCATAGGGTATATATTGTTAAGAACTTGTGAAATGGTGTTTAATGTAACATCTCTGTCTCGAGCCGGTTCAATTAACATACATATGATACTTAACAGAAACATCAGAAGACTTAACTTACGAAAATACGAGCTAACTTTTTCCTTTTTCATTAATCCTATTTCACATGATATATCACATTGCATACTTTTCTAGTTCACTTTTCATTTGACGGAGGCGAAAATTGGGCAGAGTACCGTCTGTAAATCGGACAAATGGGGATTTGAGAATCCCACTCTCAAAACATCCTGTTTGACAGTTATACAATATATCCTTTCAGAACTACCAGATATCCATATAAGACCATATACTCATCCATGGGCGCATGCATAACTTGGCTCCGTGCCACTATGTCTATCAGCATGCATATCCAACATATGATCATATAACTGAATACTACATCATAATGTAAACATGCCTGAATACACAGATGTACATGCATCAAAGCGAAAAATATGTACAAAATGTATAATGGCATATACAAAATAACAGATCAGACATCATGATCCTAAAATAACAAAATACTGAAACAACCCAAAATATCCACCAAGTATCAGTAGCCTACAATTACTCCAAAATCCGATTCGTCGCAACCCCTCTAGCCACTAGTCGTGTCCCTGCCTCGTGAGGGCTCACCGGGAATCTGAACACCTGAAAAGATGTCCCCAAAAGGGGTGAGATAACAAATCTCAGTAAGCTCCAGGTTTATAGAGAATTCTCCATACCCCTGGGCCCATTCCTGCATGAAAGTCAGATGCAGAGTATACAAAGCATCATATAACAGATATCATAACTGAACAAAATATATATACGTATCATATCAGAGGCGTACACAGTTATTCCCAAGGGAGGATCCGAAGCGGAAATCAACGCACGTGTTTCCAAGGAAGGACCCCAAGTGAAACCAGAACATATCAGAGAAGTACACAGTCAGTCCCGAGGGAGGACCCCAAGCAGACATGAGTGCACAAACAATCAATGGCCAAAGATCAATACAGAAATCACATCAGAACAAATCACATCATGTTATCAAATAGCTCTATATGAATGCATCTATACAAAGCATCAAATACAATCATACATTCCAACCATAGTTCACTAACCATGGTGGAGCACTAAAGCAGGAAAAGACTCCTTAAACATAGAGCTTACCTCTTGGAGCTTTACAATTTGCTTACTTGAAAAACAAGCTACTTATCTTGCTCCCCGAGAGTCTAAACGTTCACAGTCCCTAGGCACACCTAGAGAAGGAATTCCACACAAAACTCAATAAAATGATATAATGCCATGTAAATATACAAGACACACACTTTATTGTTTACTTTCTTTTTACTTAATCATATTAGGCCATGAGTGGGTGATTCTTTGATCAACAAATCCCCATAAAATTCCACGTATTCACTTAGTCTTAGGATAGTCTCAAAAGGCCTTTAAAACACTCATTACTCCTCTTAGCACCTAAAAACCTATTTTTTTCAATTTAAGGCAGAGTGCCCATTACAAAGGAGTTATAAAATTTCTCTTTGTCTAGTGCCTAAACCCAAGCTTAGTCACCTATATAAATTATTTTACGCATAAAAATGTTCTCACTTGGCGAAACAGTAACTCCAAACATATACCTCTTTTGAAAATGGCCAAAACTCATTTTAAGGTCATACAAAGGAGCTACCTTATTTTCTTTTTTATTTCACCAAAGCGAAGGTTCATACACCTTAGAATATTGTTCCACGCATAAAAGTATGCTCGCTTTGCAAAACAGTAACTCCTAACACATACCTCCTTTAAAAACGACCATAATCACATATAAGGCCTAAAAAAAGAACTTACTCATTTTTCTTTTTATCTAACCCAACCAAAGGTTTAAATATCTAATTATATAGTCCTTAGGCCGTATAAGTACTCATTAGCACAAACAAGCACTTTAAAAATATACTTCCTTTGTAAATGGCTAAGAGGCACATAAAAGAAATCATGTCAATTTCATGATTCCAATGCTTTAGTCCATCAAATTCAAGCTTATCATACAACCATAATCATCATTAGGTAATAAAACCTTTTTTACACATTAATTGATCCATTTATGCCTCAAAACATAAGACACCACTAAGCGTCATTCAATTAATCCACTCAATCCACAACTTACATATACATATAAACCTTCACCAAGTGTCCAATTATTTTTTGAACATCAAACCCTCATTTTTCACACCATGGCTGAACCTAGTGGGAGGGATTCAAGCGAATTTTCCAAACTTTAAACACATTTTCATGCTTATTTTACATCCTAACTTCATTAACAACACTAATCCATCATAAATTTCAATTTTCCAACTCAATAATATTCCATAAAATATGCTCATAATATTCAAAACTT